TTGGGGTTTGCTTTTGGTCTAGCACTTCATGATCACTGTTCAGTCGATACATTTTGTTTACTTCTGGTTGGAAAGTAGGCCTCTCTTTCCCATTCCCTAACGAATTTCAAACGTGTCTGTAAAATTGCTTAACGAGCTGCTTTGCCAAGAAGAATGTTATACCGCCATAACCAAACCAAAACCCAAACCACATCTCACCAGGGCGCGCCACTCGTGTTTGGCTCAGGTCGTGACCTCGTTCAGCCACCAGACACAAATATACGTGGCCTTGACCTTGACCTTCCAGCTGATAAGCTTCTGTTTGTGCGTGTACGGTGTGAGCAGCTGGCAGGCAAGCACAATCATCATCGGATGTCTGACCAGTGTGGGAGTATACATGGTCGTCTCCACCTGTGCGCTCGTTCTTCTGTGGGCAAGAGTTCACACAGCGGTCAGTTACTCTCTCTTACTGTAATCATCATCATCATCATCATCATCATCATCATCATCATCATCATCATCATCATCATCATCATCATCATCATCATCATCATTATCATCCTCATCATTCTCATCTTCAATGTCTTGTCCAGAGTAAGGGCGCCAAAGAGTTCAGTTTGAGTCCTTTCCCTGTGGAAAACTAGTTCATACAAGGTCCAACATCTCGTTCAATTCTTTCCATGTTTTTTTTTCTTTTGGCTTTACCTAACAAAGACTGTAGGGAGGGGGGGGGGGGTTGGGACAGTAGTAGTAGTCACAGACAGACCATTGCAGACTGCCGTCGTCCCTTTCCTGTGCAGCTGCTCCATATTTTATTGTAGCACCGGTGTATGGCTTTAGGACTTTTAGATAAAACTGTTTTGACGAACAGAATGGAACAAGCAAATTATAATTTATCAGGACAGAGAGGGACGAAAAGATAATAGATATGTGACCCTTATTTCCCTTGACATCTTACTCTTGAGACTAAAATACTATTGTTGGTGTAAATACTGTTCTGCGAATGTCTGAGTCATATTCAACTCCAAGACAGATGACAAGCAGTTGTGGTTAGAAGCACGTGTTCGGATAATGTACTACTCAGATTTGGAGTTCCTCGGGGGTCTGTTCTTGGACGTATTATGTTTTAATGATAATGTGCCATCATATTAAAATTTATCAAATCTGTTAAGACTACATTCCAACTCGCAGTTTAAGGTTATTAGCCGACAAAAAGAAATGTATTTTACTCTCTATGAAGCTTACAAGAATCGGTGAAAGGGCATTGAATACCAAGGCCCCAAGATCTGAAATGCTTTACCAAGTGCTTTAAGAGAGGTCAAATCTTTTGATTCATTCAAATGTCAGCTGAAGTCGTTTCTGTTTTTAAATTAATAAGATGAATATATTTGGAGTGATTCTCTTTTAGTCAGAACACAACGTTTTTTGTTACTGTTGTGCGCTCAGAGCCTGAGTACTTTAATCGGGGTTGAGCGCTGTATAAATGTCATTTATTATTATTATTATTATTATTATTATTATTATTATTATTATTATTATTATTATTATTATAATTATTATTATCATGATTATTATTATTATTATTATTATCATATTATTATTATTATTGTTATTATTATTATTATTGTTATTATCATTATCATTAACAGTGTATACCCAGCCTATTGCTGATAATTTACGACACAGTGACTTAATTACCATCTTTATGCTAATAACAGTTCAGGTTTATTTTTTAAAAATTGATTTTGATCCACGAAAAAGTCACTTCAGTCGAGTCCACAGAGCAATGTATCTGACAGTTAAAAATATCGATGATCAGTAATAGTTTTAGCTTGATCGACGACAAGACAGAAATAAGATTGAGTCGATCCAATAATAATAATAATAATAAAAGCACATCCGTCAGTGTCTGACGATGACCAAAACATCCACAGAGGAGAGCCTTTCGATAGTGAAATAGAAGAATTAAAAAATAAGATGACTTCTGGTTTCTGCCATGGCAATAGAGACTAATTTTGGCAGAAAAGAGTATGTACATTTTGAATGTTCAAAAGCTCCATCTCCACTTGTGGAAGTTGTGCTCGGCATTTATTATTCCTAAAGTGTCATATGACTTGCAACCCATTGGGATCGTTGTTCTCCAACTGGATTGCCGGGAGCTGGGCTCTTCCACGACGTAGAATTTATGTTGAAGTCATTCGGAGAAATGTTCAGTGTGTCTTCGCAGCGCTATTCTAGAGCGCCAAACTTACGTTTACCCGATGACAGTCAAGGACAGAATACTTACTTTCAGATTCTGAAATCAGGCACTCTTAAGGCATGGCCAGCCTTGCAAAGATGAGTCCTTTTGAGGTTATAAAAGGACTCTTATCATTTGCCTTTTTGAGATCTTCGGAGTTTGGTATTTCATCTTGCCTCTGGATTTCTATGAAATGCAGGAAGGATTCCGTGTCAATGCTTGCTTTTATTTATTAATTTCTCTGCCTGTTTCATCTTGTGATGTTAAGGGTTTTGTGGAGACATTAATTGTTGTTCAGTTTTTATCATCCTAAATAAGCCATATCAGCCAAAGTATCTATATTCAGCTAACAAGAAAGAAACTACTTTAAAAAATATAGCAGAGGTTTAACGACGCTTGCAACTGCATAAGGTCATATGAGCGCCAAGGGGTGGATGTCAACAGAGAAGTCTTTACAGGGAATCAGTCTTACTCTGCTCACCTCTCTAGCTTTAACAGCACAAAGTCTGTGTCGACTTGCAAGGCACCCCGGAAATAGCGGGTCACAAGAGTGTGACAAACATACAAAAGAAGTAGAGGAAAAGGAAGATAGTAAGGATTGGGAAAGAAAACGCAGCAGTTCCTTGTTGTAGTTCAGGCACAGTTATAAGCGTGACATTGTTGAATCAGCCCATTTACAATTCTACTGTGCATAAGTACGAGAAATGTCCTCCCTTTGGGAATGGCCTAAAGACACTTCAGTCAGTGGCACTGCCCCGGGGAGTCCGGCCACTTTCTTCTGATTGCTGCCCTCAGCTTTGTTTGAAGAACCATCTTGTAAAAGTCATAATTGACAGCTGTGCCAATAATAACAATAGTAATAATTTTTTTTAAAATAAATAATTATTATAAATAGCAATTGTACCGCGCATACTCCCGCTCAACAGCAAGCTCTATGTGCGTTACATTATATTATTTCCCCAGCAGACCATAGAACACTCAGAAACAATCTCAGCTTCCCGGGAAGCATACAGTGCAAGCAGCTGATCAGGCGCTCACACACTAACAAACTGACCTAACACACTGACAAGATCTTTCGCTGTCTACAGCTGGGTATCCATTCCCACCTCAGTGAAGTGGGGGAAATTCGTGTAAATTGCATTGCCCTTGGACACAACGTTGGGCCCCTGGCGGGATTCGAACCCATGACCTTACGATTACGAGTCCGAGAGCGTGACGACTAGGCCTTCGGTGCCAGAGGAACAGGCCAGGTCAAAACCACACCTTTGTGATAAAAAGTGCATCAGTGACAATCAGTCTCAAGTATCGTGCCTGCGTCGTCGAACTTTCGGGGGTCGTGGTGATCCTGGGTTTCTTCATCGGCTGATTGTCTTTTCGGTTCTGGATCCAACGAACGAATACACCCATGTCTCATCACCTGATACGATTCTTTAAAATCTTTCCCTTTGTTCCATGCAACTTTAATTTCTTAGCCAAAATCAAAGAAAGACTAATGCGGGCCACACACGACACATGCCGTCCTTGGGATCTACGATCCGAAGGTGATCCTTGAGGCCACCTTGAGGCCGCCGTGAGTTTTGTCCTGAGGCCAGCTGAGACGAACTGGGCCAAGTGCACACACACGGCGCAGGACAGGACTGCGCAAACCTAGTGAATTCCATCGTGACGACCTGCCAGGCTAAAATTTCGGTGGAAAGTCTAGCAATAGATCTATAGATCTAATTGAAAAAGAAGCAACATAGATTCTGGTCATATTTGTGGCTTCTCCATATGTCTAAACATACGGTAATTCACACCGCATTGGATCTCTTCTTAGACGTCTCCACCGTTTTATACTGCTTCCGAAATGAACTCAGTAAATTGTTATTTTTGTAACGACACTGTTCCTATCGGCATTTGCGTCACAGTTTTTCGCGAAACTAACGAGTTCCTCATACGCTTTGTCATTGAGTGGTCGGTTACAGCACACTGTGCACTTAATTTCCCAAATGCATTTATGTTTTCTTTAAATATTTCAATAGTCTAAAACATTGTCTCTTGACCACGCGGCTATTATCTTTCATTGAAACATCTACTCAGTACACGGGCCTGCGCTTGGCCTGTGTGAGGTATGTGCAGTCCCATCGAGGTCGGGTCTCGAGGAAGGCCTGTGTTTGTGTGGCCTGCATTTGGGGCAGTGATTTGAAGACAAAGAAAATATTGTCTCCAGGCAGAAGTGGACATGGTTGCTGTGTTTGACTGATGGCTTAATCCAATGAAAAAAGTGCACTGTGATCTATGGTTGTTGTATAATTCTATAGATCTATATGTACGTAGATCTAAAATGTATTTGAAGGCATTCTCTACTTAGATTTTGAAACTAAGTTGTTGCTTTGATTTTTCTTGTATTTAGTTCAGTAGTCTGGTGTTTCTATTTCGTTCCCCTTTAGTATCGATTCCACAATACTTTAAAGCAAAAGTAGTTACCCCGCTGTGTTTTGTTCTTTTAACACATATCAAAAGACGGATTATCGGTAGCTACTATGTGATGCAGCCGTATTCAGGACATAGCAAGGGTTGTAAATTCCGAACTGCGGAGCATACCGGACATTGTCTTACGCTGTACCTTCCAGAAGTGGTTGTGGAGGTTGAAATCCTGCATACAAAGTTGGTGAGAAGATTTCAAGTGACTGAAAATTTCAAGTCCATAGCAAGATTTTGAGATATTTTGATCCATCCACGTAAATGAAAAGACAAAAACTGAAGCCCGTCTATATTTATCCCTTTCTCAAGGCTCACTCCATCGTAGACGTGGTAGACAGCCTTGAGTGGATCAAGTTCCCACAGCCAGTGTTACGAAAGGTGAGGTCTCGTATGGGCTTAGATGTCTGTTTCTGTTCCAAATTAATTTGCCCACGAACCCAGCCAGGGAAACACCAAAACATGTGAGACAAACTGCTGTTGCTGTTGCTGTTGCTGTTGCTGGTGCTGCTGTTGTTTCCATTATTGCCTTTGTTGCTGTTGTTGTATGTGTGTGGTAGTCTATCCGTTCGAAATGTTTAGAGCCCCGAAGAGCTTCTCTTCGCCAGGGCCACCGACTCTCTTGGGTACCGAGTGAGGCAGTCCAACCTCGACCATCATCATCAATAATTTTTTTTTTATAGAGGCACCAGCCATTCATATCCAGGTGCTGTCTTAGCCGCAGTCCAACCTCACTGAATCCCCCCTAAAGAGATGCCAACGCCGGACTTCCGTGGCGGGGCATCTCGGCAGCCAATGCTCCAAATCTTGGGGCTCCTCGCTGCACAATGGACAAACTGGGTCCGATGTTTTGTCTATTCTATTTTTGTACACCCCCAGCCCAGAAAAGTGACTGGTCCTGATTTTTGCCAGTAGTGACTGGTCGCTGTTGTTGTTGTTGTTGTTGTTGTTGTTGTTGTTGTTGTTGTTGTTGTTGGTGGTGGTGGTGGTGGTGTTGTTGTTGTGGGTGGTGGTAGTGGTAGTGGTAGTGTGGTGGTGATAGTGATGGTACTTGCGGTGATGGTGCTTGTAGTTGTGCAAGCGTTCTTTTGTTGTTGTTGTTGGTGGTGGAAACGATTGCTACGGTGGTGGTAGTGATGGTGTCGTTGGTGGTGTGTTTTCTTTGTTGTTGATTGATTTGTGATGCCCTTCTAAACATGATGAAGATCATTGCGAATGCCTGACTGTCGTTTTTAAATAAGACACTTGGCTTAGAGGAAAGGTTCCTCCCTGAAAGGAGACAAATCATTCGGGGCTTTTTCGTGTTTGAAGTTCAAACTTCAACGTGACACGAAAAGATACAATTCGTAAAAGATCCAACTCGTAGAAGACTGACCCATTTCATAGCCATCACATTCACTCATCCGAGAAGGTGACCACCGATCATACGAATACATGAACAGGAATGGTAGAACTACCTAGATAACACCATATGGTTGTTTAAGAATAAGATGTTTCGCTTTTGATTTCACCGTGACACAGGCTTAAACTACTTTCAACTTCGACAAAGTCGCATTGGCTTCTTTTTCCGTCTTTTTTTCATTCGCTTTCTATCTATATCTATAAAAAAGACAACAACTAATGCATGTACCTTATAAGGGAATAATCGATGTTTCACGTACTCTTTGAGAACTTTACTTTTATCTTTTCCACCC